ATTCTGAAAATTAATTCTGAAAAATTAATTCTGAAAATTTAATTCTGAAAAATTAATTCTGAAAAATAATTCTGAAATTTAATTCTGAAAATTAATTCTGAAAAATAATTCTGAAATTTAATTCTGAAAATTAATTCTGAAAAATTAATTCTGAAAATTTAATTCTGAAAAATTAATTCTGAAAAATAATTCTGAAATTTAATTCTGAAAATTAATTCTGAAAAATAATTCTGAAATTTAATTCTGAAAATTAATTCTGAAAAATTAATTCTGAAAATTAATTCTGAAAATTACACAACATTTTAAAAAACAATGTTTAGAAATAATTCTGATTGTGTTTTTGTGTTTTCTGATTTATTGTTTTTGTGTTTTCCGGAAAGCAATCTATGTGTTTTATTCTTTATAAACTTTGTTTGAAAATAATTCTGATTATATTGTTTTGTTTATAATAATTGTTTTTGTGTTTTCCGGAAATTTAATAATTGTTTGTGTTTTCCGAAAAATAATTTATGTGTTTTATTTTATTCCTGAAAACATTTTACCCTCAATAAAATATTTTTAAATTTTAAGGGAACATAGGAAAATTAAAAATCTAATTCCAAAAACATATGAACGTTAAAGAAAAAAGAAACAAAGGTAAGAAAAACACTGCTTCCTCCCTTACAAAAAGTCTTTTGTCTGCAATAAAGGGGCTAATATACCTAATAATATTGGCAGAAACTAGTAAGCTTATTCCAAAGTTTCAATTGATTTTTGATTGACTATATTTTTTTAACTTTTTTTTACTCCTTTTCTTTATTTCCTCATCTAAACCCCTTGGGCCTTTTCTAACAAAGTTTCTCTCCCCCTCTCCTTTTCATTTAGCCTGACGACTGTTGCTGTTTTTATTTTCTCCTTTTATTATGTGCCAGCCGGGGAAGGGGATTTTGAGAGGTTTTGGTAAGTAAAGTGTGAATGTCACCACAATAGGTTATGGATGACAAAATAAAATAATAAATATTGTCCCAGTGATTCATTTTTATTTTTTTATTGCACAAACCAAAGCAGTAATTTTTTAAAATCTCTATACGAAAATAATAGTATTTTCCGGAAAGAAAAAATACAAATTTAAGTTTTAGAATTATTTCCGTGTAAAAAAACACAATTGTTCTGATTCTGACAGAAAATAAAATACATAAAATAAGGAGAACCAAATAAATGTATTTTCTGGAAATACATGTATTTTCCGGAAGAATAAATGTTTTGGTTATCCGGAAGATAATTTAAATATTATGTATTTTTAATTGTTTTTCCGGAAAGAGAAAAAATACTCAGAACATTAAATATATTTTCCGGAAAGATAAATAAATATATGTATTTTCCGGAAAGAAGTAATGTTTTAATACTCAATCCGGAAAATACATAATTTAACTACAATGTATTTTTGTGAATATGTTTTTCCGGAAAGATGTTTGTCTTTCCGGTTGTTATGTGTTTATTATGTTTTGTATTTTTATCTTTTTCCGGAAAATTTTTCAGGAGAATAAAAATATATGTGTTTTCCGGAAAATACTGCTTTAACCAATCTGGAAAATAATCTAGGTAATATCTTGTGTTTTCAAGAGTATATTTTTCCGGAAAGAATAAAAAATTTAAATAAACAGAAAGAAAATACATATAATTTAAATATATTATAAAAAGTAGAAAAAAAACTCGAGAGAGGGGAAAGGGGTAGAGATTTCATTTAATATATAAATAACAAATAAAAAATATTGAGGAGAGTTTGGCAAAAGGAAGTAGACAATGATGAGCTTCTAAAAGGAGTAAAGGAATTTTTTCTAGCCAATATTTTTTGGGAGAAAATGGGGCTGAAAAAAATGCCAATGTGGTTATGGGAAATATATATAACTACAAATAAATAAATAAATATAGGAAAAATGAAGAAAGAAGAAGAGTCATTTTTAAAAAATAAAGGGGAAATTTTAAAAGAAAATTGCATATTTTAATAATTTATTGCTTGTTTTGTGGGTATAAAAAATGACGAAAGCAGAAGAAAAATTTTTAAAACAATTTTAAAATTTTGAAGATATTTAAAAATTAAAAGTTAAACCAAAAAATTATTTTCTTGGAAACAATAAAAAAAGTAAATTTTAAACAGAATTATTTCAGAATTAATTTTTTAATTATTTAATTACAATTATTTTACTACTAAATACTATGTATTTTTCCGGAAATATTAAATTCTGATTTTAATGTAATTTATACGCTCAATTAATTTCTGATTTATACTCCTAGACTTTCAGAACAATTAAATTCTGGTTTATTTTTTTTATTATATTTCGTAAATTCTGATTTGTATATTTTTGTATTTTTCCGGAATTTTCTGATATGTATTTTCTTTCCGCAATTTTTAAATTCTGGTTTATACATATTCTCACTTTCTATCCGGAAAACATTAAATTCTGATCTTAATTTAATTTATTTTTTCGGAATATTTTGTATTTTCTTTGTATTTTCTTTGTATTTTCTTTTCAGAAATAATTAATTCTGATGTGTTTATTTTATGTATTTTTCCGGAATTATTAAATTCTGATTTTAATTCAGAATAATTTTATGTAAAAATACTTTTCCTATTAGAACACCAAATTAATCTTTGCGCAATATTTTAGATCATTTAAGAAAGGCTTAGACAATTAAAAAAATTTATAAAAAAAATAAAAAAGACGAAGCATTAAGCAAATAAAATAAAAATAAATAAAATTAGTTTATAGGGGAAAGCCTCTCCTAACATTTTTTAAGTCGAGGTAAAAATAGGGTTAAAAAGTAAAGGGAAGGTATAAAATAAAAAATCTTTTGTTAAAATTAAATTAAAATTAGGGGAACTAAAATTAGAATTTTTAAAAAATCACACAAATTTTTTAATAATTTAGTTGATATAATTATAGAAGGAAAATAAGGTTATCCTGGATGCGATATCTTGGAGGGGATTTGGATATATTTTTTAAAGGTAAAGAATTTTAACAAATATTTATTATTTAAATAGATTAAAAATATTTATTTTTAAATTTAAAAAAATATAAAAAAATATGTATAGATATCCAGGTGAAAGAAAATTACGTTTAGGAGGAATTAGTAAAAGCAACAGAGCAAATAATAGCAAAAGAAGCCAAAAAGTCTAAAAGTCCGTTTCCCTCTTTCAACTCTTTCTCTACCCTCATTTTGACGCGAGAGTGAAAATGAGGACAGTGAAAATTAAAAAAAAATTAGAGAGAGGAGGGAAGCTTTGGGACTAACTATAACTCTCTCCTTTATTTTTTAAAGCTGGACTGCTGCCAGCCAAGGAGAGAATAAATAGAAAAGGAACCGTAAAAAAAAAGAGCATCTTTTATTTTTATTTAGTCCATAAACACACAAAAAATGAAAAATAAAATAAAAGAAAATTTTACCTAGGCGGATCATCTTTCAGAAAAATAAAGGTTTTTTGTGTTTTCCGTTGTTTTTATAATTTACTCTGTTTATTGACTAATGGAAAAATTCAGAATAAAATTGTGTTTTTCAGAAAGATAAAACAAAAATACAAATTTTCCGGAAAAATAAATAATTTGAAATTCCGGAAGAAAAATACAAGGAAAATACAAGTATTCCGGAAATACACATTAGTAGACTTTCCGTAAAAATAATAAAAATACAGGAGAAAATACCGGAAGAAAAATACAATTCCGGAAGAAAAATACAAGCAAAATACAAGTAAACCAAATTTTCCGGAAATTAACTACTAATTAGTAAAGTTTCCGGAAAAATGATTGTTCGTAATTCCGGAATAAAAATACAGGAAAAATACAATTCCGGAAAATATATATGTATAAACGCTTTCCGGAAAAAGACGAAAAATATTTAAGACGAAAAATACAAGCAAAACACTTTCCGGAAATTAAATAGTAATTAGTAAACTTTCCGGAAATATACACCAAAATTATTATTTTCCGGAAAAGTAAATATAAATTAATAAAATAAACTTTCCGGAAGTAAATTATTCCAAAACAAAATCAGAATTAATATTTTCCGGAAAAAGTTAGAGAAAAAGAAAGAAAAGGGAAAATAGAGAGACGGCAGACAAAATAAAAATAATATTGTTAGCTTATTAAATTCTCTATTACACAAAAAATACAAAACTTATTGCTTTTCTATTAGACATTCTTGGAACAAATAAAAGCTAGACACACACAAACTTATTTTCAACTTTAAAACCAAGTTTATACTTTTTCTAACTTTAAAATCCCTTTGGTAAACAATTTAAAGTTAAAAAAACTTGCCTGCGCAAAAGGCACAAATGCTTCTTAAAAATGCTAAAAATTTTTTAAAAAGAAGTTTTTTAACTAAAAATCTCTTTAAAATTCCACTTCGCTCATTTCTTTAATTTATTTTTAGAAGAAAAAAAATTGTAACTGATCTCCAAACAGTAATTCCTCAACAAAAAAGTAAACTTTAAGAAAAATTGAGAGAAAAAAGGAAAAAATATTTTTTCTAAAATTTTTTTGAATAAAAATTTTGGTGTCATGTTGCAATTGATAAAAGCGCAACAAGTTTCTTTTGTTTTCAAAACATTTGGGGCTTCTATTTTTAAATAATTCTTTAAATTTATACGAAAAATTAATTTTTTGAGATTCTGTAGAACCTAAGCCATACCCTTCTCAAGCTTAAATATAGTGTGTTAACCCATGGGCGGTAAAGAATCGTAGTGTGCATAATACTGGAGGTTGTATTAATTAACCCCCTTCTGGCCAACCAGATTAAAAAATGCACATTAAAGCGAGCGTGTTCATGTTAATAGAGGTTTACATAAGTGAGGTCCGCCTGTAACAGGTAAATGAAATAAAGTTGAACTTTAATATTTATTTTTTTAATTATTAAATTTTAATATAAATTAATAAAATTTTGCAGTAAAGAAGAGAAGATAACTAAAAATAAAATAAAGCTGCACAGTTAAAATATAATTTTTTTATAAATATTTCTTAAATTTTTTATTCGATTGAACGATCATTTTTTGCTAAAAAAATTTAAAAAATTTTTAATACAAAAATAAAATTTAATATCTACCTGAAACATGGCATACAACAGCCCGAACACCTTGAGATTTAAAAAAGTCTAACCAAATTTGCTGTTTAGTAGATAATTTGTCGTTAGGTCCTTTTACTTCTACTACCTACAAAAATTAAAATTTTGTCTAATTTTAATTTTATTTTTAGAAATTCACCAGGGAAGTCACGAGTCACCCGATACCAGACTACTTGAGATATCCGGCTATTTTTCTACAAGAAACCCGATCCGAAGAAAATTTTGAAACCCTGATCAGAAACCCTGCCTGGCTTTGTTCTCAACCCCGTGACATCCCTCTAATATTTACCGCTAATTTGCGATCCTCAGCATTCCAAAGGGTCAAATCAGGAAATCCACTACGGCTTTGGCGAAAATTTGAACACAACTTTTTAAATAGAGCATGTAACAAAACAGGTGAACAACAATGTAGAAAACGCTAGAAAAAAATCTTTTTCATAAAAATCACAATTTTATACAAAAAGTTGTTCTTTTCCTCCTTCAAAATCGTGCCATTCAATGGTAGAACTTCTAGCTGAATTCCCCATAGTTTTTGATAATTTTTCGTTGTAATGTTTCTCAACAGTTGAGTGAATAAAGCATGGACAATGAACAGATTTTCGAGGAGATTTACGTTGGGGCGATCCTGTCGACGAAGAAATTCTTTCTTCAAATGTTGTTGAAGGAGTTTTGTTTAAGAGTATACATTCAGACAAGGATTCGAGAATTTTTTCAAGACGAGAATCAATTAAAGTTAAGCGATTTTCGTAGAACATTGTGTAATTGAGATCGAGAGGGTCATTCTAGAAAATTAAAAATATTTGAGTGAATTGAACTTTATTATTAGATATATCCTTTGGGCTGAAAAATCAGACCATATAATGAAGTGTATCATAAATTGGGAGTATCACTTCTCTAAGGGATGTCTAGGGTTACTCGAAATCCAATAATAGAAACCTGATCCTACAAAAATTTTAAAGACCCGATTCGAAACCCCGACTTTTTTCTCTCAACAAAAGACATCCCTGCTTCACACCAAGTTAAAAAAATTTTTCTCTCAACAAACGACATCCCTGCTTCCTAACCAGTGGCCAATCAAGGTTAAAATGCGGTAGACCTAATTTTGGGGGATTTTGGGGGTCCCTATAATGAGAAAATATTTGAAAAAATCCCTCACTTGCATCCAAGAAATCCAAACATTATTAGCCAACTCATTCTCAAATTCAACACACGAAATTATATCCCAAAAGAATAGTCTAAACAACATATGCCAAATTTTTCCTTCAGCATGTACTCCTTCTTTATAATTTTCATTTTCAATAAAATGACGTAATGCAATTTCTTCAACGTTACATTTATTTATATTTGTATTATTTGTTGGAGCTGTTGTTGTTTGTGTTGAGGGTTGCTGGTGTTCAGACGACCCTCCTCTTCTTGTAGAAGCAAAAGAAGAACAAGAAGAAGTATCTGAAGATGACGACAAAGTATCTGATTGAATTGTCTCTGGTTGAACATTTTCATTAAGATTAGGTTGAGTTGAAGTCGAAGGAATATAAAAATGGTTAACTTGAAGACCATCGCCTAGGCCCTTTCCTAATGTAAGTCCAGTAATTGAAACCTGAGAAATAAAAAAAAAATTCTTATCAAAATTTATTTGGTACTACGCGTTTATCCACCTATATTCTCTTTTTCCTCTCCTTTCTCCTCACATAAATATTAAAAAATAGTCAAGTCTGGCCTTTATTTGTCTTTGACCAATTTGTAATATTTATGAGAGGCGAAAGGAACGGAAAAGGAAAATGCAGACCCATAAACTCATAGTCCCTTTTATTTTAACAAACCCTTTCTGGTTCATCCAAAACCAAACGATTCTCTAACAAAGCCTGTGGACAGTCAACTACACGTTGAGATAATTTGTCAAGTCTCTCTTGTAGCGATAATTTATCAGAAATCAAAACAAAATTTTCTTCAATTCCCTTACAACAAAATTTAGCTGCTTCCTCATTTCGTTTCAAGTGTTTATTTAAATTGAGCACCAAGCGTTTATACCATCTTCCACGGGAATTGATACAAAAATGTTTGAGTTCTAAAGGAAAATAATTTTTTAAAATTCAAAAAATCCCAAAAAAACCTTCTTTACTCAACAAAAATATTAGCCAGTTTACAGCAAGTTCATAGTCTCTTAATCTCTGGGCTGCTTCAACTCCCCGAAATATACAACGACAATAAATCCAAGGAGGTGTAAATTTGCGTAAATAAACAGGCAAATTAATAAATTGAAAAATTCTGAAAAATTTTTTCAATTTTTAAAAATAAAAATAAACTTTGCATCCTCTTCGCCATCCAAAAATTCCTTAGAAAATAATTCTTTCAATTCAGCAGCTACAGATTTTGCTTCTTCAAATAAAGACTTGTCAATAAAGCAAACTAAGCGTTGTTCATCATATTTTGCTTTGACATATCTAAAATTTATGAAAAAAAATTTTATAAAAAAATTTAAAGAAAAACCTTGTTAAGCCATCAAAATCAGAAAAAAGGTCAATCAAAGAATATTTCAAATTTAAATTATTTACAAAATTTAAAGTTTCTGCTTGACGTTGAAGCATTGAGAAACTGAAAAAAAATTAAATTAAAAATTACAAAAAATTATTTTGAACATTAATGAGTCACATAAATCAACATAACATTGATGGGGACGAACAGCAGCGGCGCCAACATCCATCAAGTTTGGGGCATAGACAGAGAAAAAAGAATTAAAGAAATAGAGTACATCTTGTTTAATTCTGTAGCATTTTCCGGTTAGTTGTTTTATACTAAAATAGAATAAGTTTAAAAACAAAAACAGAAAAATCAGAATTAGCAAACAACAAAAAAGACAACAATAAAAACAAATAACAAACAGAACAATCAGAACTAATTAAAAACACAATAAAAAAAACCAGAATAAACAAAGAACAAATTCCGGAAAAGTAACACATTACGAACAGAAAAATCAGGATTTGAATAATATAAACACAAAACGATGAAAAACAAATAACAAACAGAAAAAAAACCAAAATAAACAAATAACTAACAAAAAATCAGAATAAACAAACAAAAATAAACCAGAATAAACCGACAACAAACTCCGGAAAACACATTACAGAAAACAAACAGAAAAATCAGAATTAAAACACAACAAAAATACAAAAACCAGAATAATCCCAAAACTTAAAGAAACACAAAAATCAGAACATAAAAGAAACACATGTGTTTTATATTAATTCTGATTTTTGTATTTCTTGTATTTCATTAAAAAACACAAAAATCAGAATTTGTGTTTTTCTCTTAATTCCCCTATAAAAACACCAAATAAAAACCCACCAATTCAACAAATGCTTCAAATTACACCGTCCAAAAACATCTCTACGTATTGCATGCTTCTTTAATTCTCTAATAATTCCCTGCCTTCCAATTCTTGTATCAATATGGAATTTTTTGCAAATAATTTTAAAATCGTCTACTTGAAGTAAATTGAAAGCTTCATCAAGTGTGATATTTGAAGAATTTGGATCACCATTTTCGTTTATGGAAAATGCTTCAAAATATTTTTAATTAATTCTAAAAAATTTTTTAATTAAATACCTTCCTCAAAAAATCCATTTTCACAGAGTTCAATAAATAAAGGCATCAATTTTGGGCCCAAATCGTGATATCTTTAAAATTAATTTTAAAAAAATTAATGGAATTAATAATAGTCTAAAAATCTGAGGAGAAATAGAGGAATGAAAAAAATATAAAATATATGTAGCTAAATAGAAGACTCGGTCTATTTAAAAATTAGGAAGATATGTGCCTGATCGAGCGAGCACAGGGCTGATCGAAGACAAAAAAAAAGGAAAAAAGATAAAAATACTACTTGATTCACAACCACTTTTTCCTACTTACAAGGAGAGGTTGCGAGGTGTCCGACCTAAAAACGGTCGAGACCGGGCTCATTCAATAGAGAATGTGCCCTTTCTAGCAAGGATTTTGAGCCGTATTTGCCCGTTTTTTAACTGGCCAAAATATGGCCCTCCAAAATAACTTAATTTTATATGAATTTCATTTAGAGTCTAAACAGTATTTATCCTTTTACGGACAAAAAATTGCGGAATTTAGAAAACTACTTTCACGTCTCTTAAAAAATTGAAAAAAAATTTTTTGAATTTAACTCACCTAATATTCCGAGCAATATGAAAACCTCTTCTCCGTACCAAAATTCTACAAAAAAGTTGTTGGGCCGGAACTTGAAAAATTTTTTTAAAAATTTTTTTAGAATATTTTTTATAAAAAATAAAAACCTGATGTTGTCAAAAAAGAATAAACTTTTCTTAAAGAATCCCCCCAAAATTTAGTTGCAGTCTCCAAAATATTTTCATGGCCGTTTTTAACACAGTGAAGAGCCTAAAATTAATTTTTAAAAAAATTTTAAAAATTCAAAAAAAACTTTTTGTAAAATTTGCCAAACAAAACGTAAAGAATAATGAACTGGAAGTAATTTATTAGACACATTTTCTGTTGGTGGTGGGTCCATAAGAGAATCATTTTCGTCTGTCAAATCAAGTGGTCGATTAGTATCGCCTATTTTAAAATTAAAAAAATAAATTTGAGAAAAATTATGAGAATAAAATAAGATAAAAATAAGATGAAATATAAGCAAAAAATAGTTAGAAAAATTAAAGGAAAGGAAGGAAGAAAAGAAAATTTTTTTAGAATACGTACCGACAATAAACGACAAAATATATATCATTCGAAAGAGCTCGCGAAGCTGACAAGTAACAATGACAATTCGATTTTGTTCCTTGTGAGGTCGAATGGTACCAAATTATGCGGTGCTCATAGCCAGAAGCTGAGATAAGGACACGAAATAGTCAGAAACCATAGGGGGCCCTAATCTTACTTTTGGGGGGTCAAGAAATCGAATATGTAAATAATAGCTTCTTTGACCGGACTTTTCCTTACAATTTCTTATGAAAAAATTTACAGAAAATAAAAAGAGGCTCCCAATTTTTGAATTGACAATGAGCCGTTTTAATTAAAAAAATAAGTCAAACCAAATTATTTACATTTTGGAGGTGGAAGATTGCGCAAAAGCTCTTCTTGTTCACTCAAAAAATCTTCTAGTCGTTCAACACACAAATCATAAATTTGAGCTAATGGCAAATCGGAACAATAATTTTTGGGTTTAAAAACAGTAATTGGAACTTCATTAGAACTATCATCACAAATAGTTATTGGACTTGCTGGAGCTTAAAAAAGGAATTATTTTTTTTATATTTTATTGATAACATTTTAAATATTTGTAGGTGAATAAAATGAGAAAATTTTAGAGACTAAGAGAATAATTTTTTACTTTTACTAATGACTTCACTAGCAAAATACACGTACCAAAATAGGACTGTCCCTTTCAGGTCCGTAACCAGGATTTTTTTCCGAGGGTTATTTACTTTTCCTTTATTTCCCTTCATGCGACAAAAATTCCAGACAGCCTAACATAATCCTAAAAATAGGAAAAAATACACATATTCCAGAAAAAACCATCCCTATATCAACAATAAATTTTAATAAAATTAACGTCAACCCTGGAAGATAACCGTCATAAACCCTCAAAATTCCTGAAACCATGAAAAATTTTTTAATTCTAAAAAACCCAAATTTATTAAGGTTTATTCAATTTTTGGGGAGTTTTTAATTTAAAAACAAAAAATAAAAAAATAATCAAAAAACCTCTTCTCACATTGCCATCAATAACATCTCTCGAAACAATACCAGAATTAAGTGCCGAACTTCTAGGGGATTCCAAATTTGACTGAGAATCGTCATCCTCCACATTAACAACCACGCTCGATTTATCCGTTCTTTTAAGATTTTTCTTGGAGTTATTGAATTCACTAGCTTCTTGTTCATTCTCCTTATGTCCTTGCCCTTCTCCACAAAAAATAATATCATCGTCATCCTCCTCCACCTCTTCCTCTTCTCGATTTTTACATTTTTCATAATGTTGTAAATAAACAGAATAATCCACCTTTTTGTTACATTTTGGACATTGACGGGTATTTTGAATTCTTTTAAATGCTGCTTCTATTGTATTATTGTTGTTTTTAATTATATTTTTAGTTGGACGGTCAGAATTGTTGTTGTTAGAGGCTATTTTGTTAGACTTCTTTCTAGTCATTTTAAGGTATAAAAAATAAATAATTGTGTTTATTGATGTTGTAAATGGCTGAAAATTAATTAGATTAAACAAAAAAAATTTCAAAAAAATTCTCGAAGAAAAATTCATTGTTAAAGGGAAAAGCCCAAAACGGCGCGCGCCCAAAACGGCGCAAAGCCATAACCTGCTTAAAGATTTACGAATCCTAACAAATTTGGTATTAAACGATTCCTCTCATCGAGCTAGGGAGATTGGTATTAAAATTGGCAAGGGTCGGACATTTCTCAGCAAGTTATGGCTTTGCGCCGTTATGGGCTCGCGCCGTTTTGGGCTGTACCCAACTCGAAAAATCCCCAAAGTTTTGAGCAAGACTCAAAGTTTAATTTTAAAGAAAAACTATTAGAGTCTAGGCGCAATTTCCCCATTATTTTCTACTCTCTTCGACCAAATGGCAAATTTAACCCTACTAACCGAAACGAATTTAGATGTTCTAAAATTTATTTTTAGAAAGTATAAAAGCCTACTGTATAAATTGAGTCTCCATTTATTTTTTAAATTTAATGAGGTAATTTTGATATTTTTTTGTTCAATTTTTCTGTTTTTGTTAATTAAATCCTCCTTTTATGTGCCGCTTATTTAAAAATCGCTTTGCGTCTTATGACGAGAAAGATAATGGGAAAAGAGATAAATCCTTGAACGATTTTGTCTTTGTACTTTTTTGAAGGTTGTCCTTTTTGTCGCAAGACGCAAAGCGATTCTTTAATGAAATTTTTAAAGGGAAATTTTACAGTAGAGACTAGGGATGTTCGGGTCAACTAAGAAGTCGGGTCGAGTTTCTGGTCGAAAAAAGGCCGGGTTTCGGGTAACTCGAGACATCCCTGGTAGAGACGAGATCTGAGATGAGATCCGAAACAAAAATCGCAATTTATCGTGACCTTATGACTCCCCCAGTCAGGGCTGGACGCAATTGCGGATTGGGCGAAATTACGTTTTTTTTGACTTGCAGATTGCGTATTGTGGCTGCGGAAAATTTTTTTCAATTGCGTCCACCCCTGTTCCCAGTCCTGTTTTTATTCCAAAAATTCTTTGTAATAAAAATTAATTTGAATGCTCTTTTTTAAATTTTTTTATATTTTTTTCAGAACAAAAGAGAAAATTATTTATTCTATTAAAACGCCTATATTATTTACTACTTTAAATTTGACTTTAACAACAAAAATTATAAAAATCAATTATTATAAAAATCAATTATTTTAATATAAAATTATAAAAATCAATTATTTTAATCAATTATTTTAGTTTAATTTTCAACTTGACTTAATTTATTTTTTCAATCCATATATGTATTTTCAAATTTGTAATGTCGCCCAAGAGGCAAATAAATAAATAAATAAATAAATAAAAGTTTGGTATTTATTTTTTTCTTCTGGAAGGTTGCTGAATGAAGGTGGGGAAAATTTTAATTTTTTTTTTCTTGAAAAAAAAATTTTTTTGAAATATTTTTCTGAAAATTTTTTTTTCTGAAAAAATTTTCTTTTGTGTTTTGATTTTCTTTAATTAATTAATTGTGTTTTGAATTTTAATAAAATAATTTATTTTTTTATTTTCACTCCCTCCCTATTTTTAAGAAAGGGCAAAATTCGATTTTAGCGTCACTTTATTTATCGCTTGCTTAATCTTTTTTAAATGCCCTTTTCTCTTGCCAATGATAGCTATTTAATCAATTATGGCGATTTTTTGTTTTTATTTTTAAATTTATTTATTTTTAAATTTTATTTAAACATTTCGGCACTTTTTTTTTAATTTTTATTTATTTACTTTTTTACTTCCTTAATTTCATAATTGCTTCTTTCATTATTTATTTTTATTTTCTCTTCTTTCTGTAGTTTTTCCGGATTTTTCTAGTCATTTCAAAATTTAGAGGGATGGGTTTCTTAAGCTTTTTTTTATATTTTTTTTTAAAATTGTGGATATGTAACTTGGTCTTGAACCTTTTGAAGGAAAAATATCCTTCAACCCTTTTTTGAATTTAAACTTCACTTTTTGAAATTTTTGTGAATATTTCAGGGTAGGGTTGTCGGTTATTGGAAAATCTTTGGATATCCGAACCGAAAATTCCTCGGTTCTTCGGTTCGGTCCAGTACCGACGACAACCTTATTCCAGGGATGGGACGGGTTTAAAAAAGGTAGTCATTTATGTTTGGGGTTTCAAAAAATTTTTCGGATTGGATTTTTGATAGAGGAAAATTCGGATAACCTACCATGCCCATTTTTGGTACCTAAAAGCTTTGACCAGTCGATGTGTGTTTTGTAATTTTTCCGGATTCCGAAATTTTTCCTGATATTTTTTAATGTAAAATTTTATTCCGGTGTTAGCCTGTCTGTTGAGAAGGATTTAATTTGGACTTGAACCTTTTTGAAAAAAAATTTTTTTCAGTCACTAATTCCTTGCGCTTCATCAACATATAAGCATTTTACTAATTTCTTTACTGATTTCTTCCTAATTTTAATTAATTTTTATTTGAATAAATTTTACAAAACAATTTTCATCAGAAAAGGTTTTTGTTTAAACTTTTAAAAGAAAAAAACTTTTTTATTTTAAACAAAAATTGATTTAAAGGGGGGAAGTCTATATTAAAAAAAGTTAAAGGAAGGGGGATTTTTGTTGTTGTTTTTCTTTTTTAAATTATTTAATATATGCTTACGTGTTTAATATTTTTTTATTGTAAATTTTCTGGCCAATGGACTACTTTTCCCAGCAATTGATTTTTGCAATGATTTTTTTTGGAATATTAATTTTTAATTAAATAATTAATTTTTTGGAAATTTTTGGGAAGTTTTTTTGGGAAAAAAGTCTTTGGGAAAATTTTTTCTAAATATTCGCGAATTTTTTCAAGTCTTTGTTATTTTTATAATTTTTTTTGGGAGATTTTTGGGAAAAAATTTTTTAGAAATTTTTTAGAAAATTTTTTAGAAATTTTTTTAAAATTTTTAAAATTTTTTTTCTAACAATAAGTAAGAAATTTTCGGGAATTTTTTTTTAATCCTGCGTCTTTGTTATAATTTTCTCAAAAATATTTTTAAAAATAAATTTTATTTTTTTGACAATTTTTCCTGTCTCATTTTGTTATTTTTTTTATTTTTTATTTCATTAAAAAATTTTTTTAATTAATTTTTTAATTTTTCTAGATGACAGCAAAACAAAGAAGATCAGCAACAAAAGGATTGTTAGTATTTTTTATTTATTTTTAAAAATTTAATTTTCCCCCAAATTTTTTTTGTAGTGAACCAGAAGAGTACGACGCTAATTTAGATTGTCCAGTACCGTATATTGCTTGCGTTTGTAGAGGTTTTTTTAATTTAAATTTTTTAAATTTTTAAAATTTGGGAGGGAAATTGGGTAATTTTTAGAGGTTTTTTGAAGTTCTTTTTGTTAAAAAATTTTTTGGGAATTTTAACAAAAAAATTTTTATTTGAGAAAATTAAAAAGAAAAGAATTAAAAATTGATTTTGTAAATCAATAAATAATAGAAAATGAATTTTTTCCCTTAATTTTTTTTTTAATTTTTTATTTATTTTATTTTTAAAAATTTAATTTTCCCCTCAAATTTTTTTAACCAGAAGAGAATTAATTTTTGAATTTTTTTTCGAAATTAAAAAATAAATTTTTTTATTCGACTAAATTTTTACTCCTACTAATTTTTAGACTAAAATAATTTTTTAATTTTTAAAAATTAAATTAAAAGATTTTTTGTCGATTTGTTTTGTTTACTTAACACATTTGGGAAAATTGGGTAACAAATTTTACCTCAAAAATTGTTAAAAAATTTTTTTTTAATTTCAAAAAAAAAATTTAAATTTGAAATATTCATTAATATACTTACTGGAAAAATTGTCAAACGAATTCCACCCAATGATTCCTAGAAAAAAAAAATTTTTTTAATTTTTAAAACAAAATTTATTTTCTCTTATTTTATATTTTTTTCAAGGCAGGGAAATTGTCGGATAAATTTTCTCTCAAAAAATTTTTTAAAATTAATTTTTTAAATTAGAAATTAGCAATTGATTTTGTTGTTTTATTTTATTTTTTAAATTAAGAAGAAAGGAATTATATTATTTTTTTTAAAGAAATTCTTTTATTCTTTTTTCAAGGTGTTCCAATCCCTAAAAAAATAACGGATGAAGGTGTCGGTTTTAGAATGCGTTGTACTAACGATCGTTGTCATTTGGCTAGTTCATTTTTTCTACATAAAAAATGTTCGGATAAATTGGAAGAAAATTTATTGAAAATTTTGGCAAATGAAGGTTCTGCTAGAGGGTGGACAGGTTTGTGGAAATTTAAATTTAATTTTAAATTTATTTATAATTTAAAGATGCACAATTAAGAAGTAATTTGTGGGAAAAGAAGGGGCAATCCTTAGTTGGAAGAATTTTACGTTGTCGATGTGGAATGGGTGTAATGAGTGTTGATGTTGATTTTTACAAGGTTTTTATTCGAAAAAAATTTTTTTTAATTTTTTTTGAAACGATGTTAAGGAAATGTGGGAAGGCATGTAAGTAAGGTAGGCTGTAAAGTAAGTTTAAAGGGTAGTCCGAAGGGAACATAACTATTCCGAAATGACATAAATAGGCCAAAAGGGACCTCAATATTTTATAGGAAACCTCTGTATCTTTTATCGTCCACAGAGAACATGTTGGATAGTCCAAAGCAGAGGTGGGTCGGAATTCCGACTTCCGTTTTCCGACTTTTTTTCCGATTTCCGAGTTCCGACTTTTGAGCCAGTTCCGCTTTCTGGCTCTTCCGATTTCCGACTCCTTGGATTGTTCCTACCCACCTCTGGTCCAAAGGGAACACGAAAGGTATTCTGAAGTTCTGGTACCCTTTCATTAACTTCACCGTATCTTTCTAATTAAAAAATTTTCTTTTAAAGAAACAAATGGTTGAAGAACGAAAACAAAAAACATTCGCTGATCCAAAAGTTGTACAAGCTAAAAAGGCAGCCAAAAAAAGCAAATTACCTGCTGTTAATTATAATAATGTTCGTCCTGTTCCGTTGGAATTATTGTCGAATGATTTTCCAGCCAAGTTGGTTTTTCTTAATTTTTTATAAAAAAATTTTAGGCGTTCAAATTTATTTTTTATTTAATTTTTGGCCATTTAACATTAAATTGTTATCTTTTGAAAAATAAATTCTCCAAGAGGATTCGAACCCTCACCCCTTAATTTGGCAATTTTACCAACTTAACCACGTGTTTGTTTTTGCCATTTTGCTCTTTTATTTTTCACTTTATTTTTATGCGTTTAGATTTTCATTTAAAAAATTTGTTTCCTTTCAAAAAATATTTTTTTTAATTAAAAAAAAATTTTTAGACCATCAGAACATTCACCTCATCAATATTTAAATGGTCGTTCACTCGAAAGGGAATCCCCCTCTTCACAACAAACAACAATAACATCGTCACCAACACCTCCATCTATTCATCATGAACAACAACAACGTTTATTTTCGAGTGGTGGTAGTGAGGTTTTTGAATTTTTAAAAATTAAATTATTTTTGCGGACTAATTTTTGCGGATTGGTTTTTGCGGATAATTTTTGCGGATTTAAAAATTTATTTTTAAATTTTTAAAATATTTTTTTACAAATGAGTAGGTATTTGTTTAATATTTTCTTTAAAAAATTGGAAATAATTTTTTGAGGAAAGGAACCCCTCTAAATTTAAAAAAGAAAATCCGCAAATTATGTCCGCAAAAAATTTTATTTTCTTAACTCCGCAAAAATGATCTTTTTTTAATTTAAAGAAACATGTTGATGAACATCGAAAAAAGAAGTCTTATGGCAATCCAAAATCAGCACAATCTAAAAAATCATCAAGAAAATCAAAATTGTCAACACCTAATACTTATAATAATGTTAGGCCTGTTCAATTGGATTTGATACAACAAAATAATGAATTTGTTACAAATGGGTATTTTTAAATTTTTTTAAAATTTTTTTTTTGAATTTTTTTTTGAAAAATTTTCGAAAATTAAAAAAATTTTTTATAACTTATAAAAGTTTTTTTTGAAATTTTTTAAAAAATTTCCCGAAAAATTTTTTTTATTTTTAAAAAAAATTTCTAAAAATTTTCAAAAAAAATTTTGAAAATTTTTTTGAACCTAAAAAAAATTTTTTCTTTTTCAAAGAACATCAGAACATTCGCCTTCACTATCTTCAAATCAATATTTATCAAATCGAGTAGAACGAGAATCGCCTAGTTCAAATTCAAAAACGCCAATGACAACACCTTCACAAACACCACCAACAGCTCCTCCTCTACAAAATGATTTACAACAACAACAACAAAATTTGGGAGGAAATAATAATAATATTGTTAATGGAGCTGGTGGTGACATACAAGTTTGTTAAATTAATTTGGGTTAGGACCTCTAGGGGTGGGGGGAGTTTATATTCGACTTATAACCCTAAAACTTGAGTTTCCCCGAAAATTCCGATTTCGGAAAGTTCAGCTCTTTTTTTGGTTACGGTTCCGAGATCCTGAACTCATATTAAATCCGGTTCCGGTCAAAATTTCAGTTCCGGTGAAACACTACCCAAAAACCTAATAATTTTTGATAAGGTGATTTTTAAAAGAAATCTCCTCCTAAATCAAAAATGCATTTTTGCCTAAAAACTGAATTTTAAAATTTTGATTAACTGAAAAAACTGGGGTAGCACCTCAGACGGAATTTAAGGCAAAAAACACGATCCAAACCCCGAAGGCTCTACCTCGGCAAACCTCGATCCTCGACGATACAGCCCCCGAATTTCGTGGTGATATTTTAGTAAAAGCCGTTTAATAACCGGTATTCACAAGGATTGACGTATATGGATATCTGAAAAAATATGTCCAAATATTCGAAAATCTTCGGTTAGGATATCGGACCTTTATTTTTCTAATATATTTTTTTATTTTTTTTTTTAGCCGCGAAGATTCTACTCTCTCTTCGATCCAGATTCACGTGGATTCTATTTGGGAGAACAAATTCTAGTTTGTTTTTTCTTTTTAATTAAAAAAATAATTAATTTTTGAAGGTCTTAAACATTTCCAAATTTTAACCATAGAAAAAAAATTTTTATTAGAAAAAATTTTTTTTTAATTTGGGCTCTAGCTAGGGAATTTTTTATAAGTTGGGTTGCCGTTTTCGGGCCTCATTTTTATCTAACCGGGCCGTTAGAATTTTTTTCAGGTTAAAAATCGAAGCCCGATTTGAACTTTCGAACCGAACCGGATCGGCAATCCTATTTATGAGTTATTACTTTCATTGGACTCATAAAAATTCATTGGACCCATGAACTTTACCAGAGCATTTTTAACTTAAAAATTTTTCAAGAAAATTCAAAAAATATTTTTGCAACCTAAAAAAAAATTCTTTTTTTTTTTCAAAGGGTGAATTTTATCTACCTCGTTTACTTCAACCTTCTAGTATATAAAACAACAACAGAATCTCATCAAAAAAAAATTTTTTTTTTCTTCCTCTTCTAGTATTTTATCCAAGTGCCTAGGAAAATAGAAAAGTGCGCAACTTTTTTTTTGAAAGAGAAAAAATATATAAATTTATGGGTGACACAAAATATAAATTATTTATTTTTTGGGGTGATTTTTTTGTTTTTTTGGCAGCAATATAAAATTAAATTTATTTAAAATTTATTTTTATTGCTGTCATAATAATTTATTAAAAAAAAATATGTAAATATAGAAAAATAAAAAGTTTTTTTTTTGAATATTTATTTAATGGGTTTGGGGTAGGTGGTGGCAAAATCGCATTCCTGGGATCCTGTAACGGTATTTTCTTCAATCTTTTGTGCGTGAAGGGAATGCGCAAAATTAATTCCGGTAATCCTGTTCGTCGCTCAAAACCCGGGATTTTACGGGACGGGATCCCGTAAAATCCCGTACGAGGTCCCGCCCCGCATTTTAGTCAGAAATTTTTGTTTTGATGCAGGATTGGTGGTATATTTAAAAATTAATTAATCTTTTAATAAATTAAATAGATTCTAGAAAAATTTTAGGAAAAAAATTAACTTTCTTTATTATAACTTTAATCTTCCTTGGAAACAATTTGTAATTTTAGGAACGATTTAAAAATTATTTTTGAAAAATTTTTGAATTTTTTTTTTAGAATTAAAATCCAGACATCTTAAATCTTTACTTCCCTACTACTATTTTTGGTTAATAAAAAATCTTTAAATCTCTTCCTAAAAATTAAATTAATTTTCAAGGAAAAATACAAATGAAGAAAATTAATTTCCAAAAAATTAATTTTCAAAAAATTAATATTTTTGCAAATTAAATAAAATGATGTGATGATTTTTTTAATAATTAATTTAGAAAAAAAATTAAAAATTAATCCCTTTTTTAAAATTATTAATCTTTTAAAGAGAAAAAAGAGGAGGGATTAGTTATTTAATTTTTAATGAATTAATTTATTTTTTATTTTTAAATAATTTATTTTAAAAATTATTTAAATACCCTAAAATTAGGCTAATAAATAAATATATACTAGTTGATAATTTAATTTTATTAAAAAAATTTTTTTTTAATTTTTTAAATTTTTTAAGCACGCGTTAAGGGAAGCAGGTTCATTTTTAAGGAGAAACCCTCAAGTTTCCTTTGCTTCATTTATCCACAATAATTTTTTAAAAATTTTAGAGGCTCAAAATATTTGTTAAACCATTTATTTTTTATTTTAAAATATTTATTTAATCAGCTAAAATTAATTACCATGGAAAGGGTTCGAACCCACGACCCCATTTTTAAGTCTGTTTTTGTAGTCAGGGCCCTTACCCACCTGACCAAAAAATTCGTTTTGGGGAGACAAATGTTTGAGATTCTGCCGGCAAAAACAAATGAAGGCGTGATATTTGTGATATTTAGGGAGTTTATTGAATTTTGAATAGACGACCACTAGGTTTTGGTCAAGTACTGTAAGCCTACTGTTTAGAAAAAAGTTTTTAACCAAAATAAAATTTTTTGAAATTTTTTCGATTCAGATTCTGAACGTTATTTAGGAAGTACATACATATCAGGAGTCCAGCCGTCGACCTGATTCCCGAACTTGTGAATTTATTTTTTTTCTCAGCTAGACCCCTTGGGTACATAAGGGGCACGCCCAAGATTCGGGCGTGCCCCTTCGTGCGTTCCCTTTTACTCCTGATCTTCCCTTAATTATTTTATTCCTTTGTTCAACAAATTTTTTTTCTTAATTTATCCTCATTGTCCTCCTTTTATCATTATTTTTTAATCTTTCCAAGTATTATTCATTTTATTTAAAAAAATTAATATTAAAAAAGACAAATAAATAGAGGTAGAATAACTCTCATTAATTACCTCCTTTTTTTATTTTTTTATTTTACTCGTCTCGGCTTTTTTAATACCCAATTATTTATTTTAAAATCTCCCTTTTATTCTCATTTTACACACCTATATAATTTTCTTTTTCATTAAAAAAATTTTTTTTAATTTTTAAAAAAAGCTAAATTATCCCCCAACCATAAATATTTAATATAGGCAGAGAAGAAAAAATAGTAGGGGGAAATGAGAGAGACAACGTATTGACAGACATTTTTAAATTTATATTCGTCATTTTCCGCCTTCCATTTTTCTCGTTAAAATATTTTTTAAATTTATGTTCCTCTTCCTTTTTGTTAAAAATAATTTTTTTTTAATTTCCGATAGACTTGAATATTTTTTAAAAATTATTTTCCCCTCCAATTGCCTTAAAATTTAATTTTTGAATTTTTAAAAAATGCTCTGTACCAACAACAGCAGTGGAAATACTCCCCCAGAACGGAGAGACCCTGTCCCACATAGAGGATTTAATGCGAAAGCTAGAGAGGTGATTAAAAATAATTATTTTAAAATTAAATCAGAGAAGAAAAAATAGTAGGGGAAAATGAGAGAGACAACGTGTTGGCAGACATTGTCTCTCTTATTTTCCTAGAGTCTTTTTGGGGGTTTTGTGGAGTGATTTTTGTGGGGCCAAAAATAAATTTAGAATTATTTTAAGTATTTTCTAGACCTTAAAAAATTTTTAAAAATTTTCAAAAAAAATTTTTCCTTCAATTTTAGGTCCTTTTGGATTCAGAAAAGAGTCGTTATTGGGAATTTTTGAGTCGAAGTGTTCACAAAGCTGAAAGGGCTAAAATGTGTCCAGCAAATAATTTTCGTCGTTGTGGTGAGCTTAAAAAATTTTTTTTGTAAAAATAAAATAAATTTCGTTTAGGCAGTGACGAAGAATTTTTGCGTAGAGTCCGTTTTGGTAGAACAGAAAGTGAGGGAGGTGACTCTTCTGGGTCCCGTGGAAGTGTTTCTGGGGAAAATAAAATTAAAGGAATTACAAATGGTGAGAAAATAAATTTTTTAGATAAAAAAATTTTTCAATAAAAAATGTATTTTTGGTGTAGTGGGAAAAATTGTAATTTCTTTTGTGTAGAGGTCGCGGGTTCGAACTCGCTTGGTTGTAATATTTTTTTATTTTCTTAGAAAAGAATATTTTTGGCAAAAAACCAAGAAAAGTACATTACAAAACATTTGGAAAAGTATTCTTGGTGTAGTTGGAAAATTTTTAGTTTTCATTGTGTAGAGGTCGCGGGTTCGAACCCGCTTGAGGAAAATCTTTTTTATTTTCTTATAAAAAAATATTTTTTGGTAGAAAAATAAGAAAAGCGTATTCCAGAAAGATTTTAAAAAAAATTTTAGTGGAGGAGCACAATGAACAATTTGATGGAATTGATGATTTACCAAAATTAGAATCAAAACTACAAAAATTAAAAAACCGAACATTACAAGAAATTGGAAAATCTCTTTCTGCTTATGATTTAAATGTTAATGGAAAAAGGAAATGATTGAAATACAAAAAATTTTTTAGTAAATTTCCTCGGCTATTTTTAAGGAAAAAAGGATGCAAGTTTTACCAAAAAAATTAAAGAAAGGTTTAAATGTGGGGTTGGTGTAGTGGGAAAATATTGGGATTTTCACAGATAAAGGTTGTGGGTTCGAATCATTTCCCCCGCAAACTTTTTTCTTTTGAGTAATTTAACTAAAATTTTTGAAAAAAATAAATTTGAGGGTCTAAAAAATTTTTTCCTTGTTATTAGGAAGAATTTTCTTGGATTTATTAATATTGACTAGCTTATTATTTTAAATTTTTGAACAAAACTTGCACTAAATTCTTATTTAAATAATTTTTTTTCAACATTAACAACTTTTTTTGATCTCATTTTCTTTTTGTTGATTCAATTTAATTTTTAAAAACACAAAAAAAACATCTGTGCTCATTTTTGTAAATAAATATTTTTTTCTCTCCTTAATTTCCCCTTTATTCTCTCACAAGCTTGTCTATTTTAAAAGGCTTTTTAGATTGAGAGCTCTAAAGAAGGGAGGAGAAAAGAGAGATATTTTTAAATAAAGTTGTAGATCAAGTATTTTGATAACTTTTTTGTATATGTATAAATTTATTTTTTTTTATTTTTGTGTTCCCCTCTATTTTTACTTGCTAATACCCCATTTTGTATATTTTCTTCTTTTGCCAAAAAAAAATTTTTTTTCTCCTAAAAAATTAATTTTTTCCCAATATTCCCCCTTTGACTTTTCAATGTACATACACATTTTTTGTTTTAATTTTGTATTAGTAAAAATATGTATTTTTTAATTTTGAATTTATTTTACTTTTTTAAAACAAATTTTAGTTAATTTAAGTAAAGCAGCTGGGCTGGCTATCCAAAAGAGAGTCCTTTGGCTAGTGCAAACGGTACACCTCAGTTGAGTCCCGACTCAGTTGAGTCCCGGACCCTATAACTTATGAAGGGATGGTCACTTTTTGTTACTCTTGGTACCATTGGATAGGGCATTAAATAGGCTACAATATACCAAAAAATCAAAATTCCTGACCGACTGGTAAAAAAGTTATGATCGATAAAGTGCCGAAAAATGAGATTTTTTTGAAAAAGTTAGTTTTTAAATCATAACTTTTTTATCAATCGGTCAAAAATTCTGATTTTTTGATATATTATAGAGCTTTAGATTCTCTATCCAATGATACCAAGAACATGAAAAAATAACCATTCTTTGCTAAGTTATAGGGCCGGGACTCAACTGAGTCGGGACTCAATTGATCTGCTCCGTAGTGCAAAGGGTCATTCGGCGGCTGCGCACCAGCATCTTCAGTACACCACGCCGCTAGGAATTAAATAGCTATTGTAAGGCGAATATCATCCTAGGCACTGGGGAACGGGACCAACCGCTTTACTCTATGTATATGCTTTACAATTTTGGGTTTAAAAATCAAAAAAAAATTTTAATTAAAAAATATTTTATTTAATTTTTAACAAGCCCATTTATGCTATTAAAATAAATAATATTTATTTTTGGTATTTTTAATTGGTATATTTAATTAGCTGCCAATATATTCAATATCCTTTTTTTACAAAAATATAGGTATAAACAAGCAATATCCATGCGCGAAAATAATTTTTTTGTTAAAAATAATTATTAACTCTTATAAAAAATATATTTAAGCTCTCCTATAATTAAAATTTAATTACACGTTTTGCTTAGTTTTTTGCCTAGTCTGGCGCGACAGTTTTAGTTAAAGTGATCCTTTTTGCCTTATTTCTGGTCCCAGCTATGTTCATCTTGAAAAACAAACAAATAATTGCGCAGAAAATGATACAAAAGTTAAACAAAATTGGGGCGAATCATGTCAAAGTTATAACTTTTTGCCTTTATTTTTTTGAATTGCGCTCACTTATTTAGCTATAACTTTTTGTAGCATGCTCTGATCAAATCAATCCTGTCAGATAAAATAATCTTCACATTAATAGCTTTCGTTTGATATGTCAACCATTAAAATAGGTTAAGAAACAAAAAAGTTATGGCCCAAAATGTGGACTATATTCACTTCATTTTCTCGAATTGCGCTTACTTATTTAGCCATAACTGTTTGTAATTTGCTCTGATCAAATCAATCCTGTTAGATAAAATAATCCCCAAATCAAGCTCTTTCGATTGGTATATGAATCATTCAAATCGGTTAAGAATCAAAAAAGTTATGGCCCAAAATGTGGACCATATTCACTTTATTTTAAAAAAAATTTAATTTTTTGGCATTAAAAATTAATTTTTGGCGTTGTGTTTAAAATTCTGATTTTGGTCATTTAATCTTTTTGCAACATTTCTTTTTGCTTTTCTTTTCTTAAAAATTAATTTTTTTACTAAATTTTATTTTTTAATAATCATATTCTTCTTTTAGATTTGTAAGCAATTCTATTTTTATTGTAAGACCTACCTATTTATTATTTAAAATCCACCACTACTAACGACGTCAAAGTTTTCTCTTTTTTTATTGTTCTAGATGTATGACATTGACGTAAGTTTTATTAATTTTTTTAATTTATTGGATTGAGGGGTATTTTTGTTTTGTTAATTTGTTGGGACATTTCACGGACAGACAATTTACCGAAAAGGTTAAAATTAGGCGTAAACTTGGTTTGTTGGATCTTTTGTCCTTCGGTAAATTGTCCCTTTCTACTTCCATTCTAGGGCTTATTTAGCACAGAAATTGTCTTTTGAATGATTTTGTGTACTGATATTCCTATAATTTTTAATTGTCCGCAAATTAATTTTTTGTCCGCAAATATTTGCGGACAAACCTAAATTTATACAGAATTGATATTTTTACTTATTTTTAGTTTCTAAACCGGCTGAGTCGCACACTTTGTGAAGCAGTTAATGAACAGGATAGGCGTGTTGCCGAAGAGACGCTTTCAAAATTGATTGACTCTAACCAATGTCTGCAACATTGTCTTTTGCTTTTGGAAAGTGGAGAGGTTTCTTGATTTCATTTTCTAAAAGTATTTTTTGTCTTAAAGCAACCTTATGCACAAGTAGTTGCTAGTGGAGCGTTGAAGCGCTTGTTAAACAAAAAAGTCAGTTTGAGCCTTCAGGACCGTCTTGAATTAAGTTGGTTTTTTAAGATTTTTCAGCAAGTATTAGAGATCGAGCCGGGCCTGGACCAAGGCGTGGGTTTTTTGTATCTAGAGTCCAGGTCTAGGCATTTTTTGACCTTACAGGATTTTTCCTAGACCTGGGTTTTTCTGGACTACAGGCCATGGATCCAGCCCAGGTTAATAAATCAAACCCCAGTGTTTAGGAACTGGCCCAAGTTTTCAAAAATCCTGATCTCTAGCAAGTATGCCTGTCCAATCTCAATATTTTCTGGCATGTACTTCAAGGGCGTATCCAGGGGGGGGGGGGCTAGAGCCCCCCCGAAATGGGGGAAAGGGGGAAAAAATTAGGAGAAGGATCTAAAATCCTCGTTTCGTCCATTGATTGATTTTTGTGCCGATTGTAGGCTAAAAATGTCCGCTACTTTTATTCAAAAAATTCGACCGTATCTGAAAGGAGTGCCTGGTTGAGTTTTTTCCTTACTTTTATATACTTCCTCAGAATGGTCAATTTTCATTTATATTTAATATTTGTTGTAAGGCAAAAATGTGTAAAAGGATTAATTTTTTATTGTCGGACAGACTGACAAAACACGGACGAACTCGGACAGACTGACAAAACACGGACGAACTCGGACAGACTGACAAAACACGGACGAACTCGGACAGACTGACAAAACACGGACGAACTCGGACAGACTGACAAAACACGGACGAACTCGGACAGACTGACAAAACACGGACGAACTCGGACAGACTGACAAAACACGGACGAACTCGGACAGACAAAACACGCACACACATCGGACAGAAAAGTAAATGTGCACAAAATTTGTGTATAACATATAATCCTTTTCTCCCATTTTTCCATAGAGCAAACATCAACAGTCGTTAAAAAAAGACCATTTTAAGGAAGTCTATCAAAAGTAAGGAAAAAACTCAACCAGGCACTCCTTTCAGATAGAGCCAAAAATTCCATAACAATAAATTTTCTCTTTAAAAAGGTCGTTATTTGCTTAAATACCTCGTTGATCGACCTTCTCTTCCTCTCTACATTCAAAATCCTTTGTGTAAATTGTATGCTTATTTGACCAAAATTGGATTGTTGGAGAAAGACCAGACAGGAACGTTTCATTTTCAAATGCCGATAGATCAAATTTTGACTTTGGCCAAGGTTTCTTTTTATTTAATTGAGTTGTACCTCACTAGAACATCAATCTACCTCTTCGAAAAATGTCCGCATTTATCCGCAGTCTGTCAAAAAACACATAATAGCCCGGATTCAGCAGTTGCGTCCAGCCCTGCTCCATAGGGGGAAAAAGCCAAAATTAGCAAAGCAAATGACATTGGTACTTTGTTCATATGCCGCCCCCCACCCCTATTTGAGTCTCAGATTATTTTTCCTTCTTTGCTGTCAATCATTTATTTTCCTCCTTTTTTAATGCCAATCAATTTCTTCCTTCAAATATAAAAGGCAAATTAAAGCATGGTATTTGAGGAGTACAGCTCAAAAGGGCGCGCGGCAATAACGGCGCAAAGCCATAACTTGCTGGAATATTTTTGACCCTTATCATTTTTGTTATCAATCTCTTTAGCACGATGAGAGGAATCGTTTAATATTAATTTTGGTAAGGTTTGAAAATCTTAAAAGCAAGTTATGGTTTTGCGCCGTTATGGACGCGCGCCCTTTTGAGCGTCTTATATTTGAGGGAAGAAAATGATTGGCATTAAAAAGGGAAGAAAATAAATGATTGACAGCAAAGAAGGAAAAATAATCTGAGACTCGAATAGGGGTGGGGGGCGGCATATGAACAAAGTACCATGACATTACTTCTCACGCTTCAGTGGGACACATGTAAAATACCCACGTTTTTTTAATTAGATAGGTAGCTGTAGGAAATGGCTTGACATGAGCGTTACCCTCTATTTTACAATTAGACATATCTTATTATCTGAGACAGGCCCGTAGCCAGGATTTTTTTTCGGGGGGGGGGGGGGGGGGCAAGGGGGGAAAATTTTTTCTGCGCCAAATTTTTGGCGCCGAAGGCGGCAAAAATTTTTATTTTCAGTGCCGCAGGCGAAAATTTTGAGAATTTTAGAAGGCCGTAGGCCAAAAAAATTCACTTTTTCGGCGCCGCAGGCGCCAAAAATTTGATTTTCAGCGCCGCAGGCGAAAATTTTTTGAATTTTGGACCTCAAGAAGCCAGATTTCTTCCTTTTTTTAGCGCCGCAGGCGAAAATTTTTTAAATTTCAGAGGCCGTAGGCCAAAAAAATTCACTTTTTTTGCCCCAGCCCTTCCCCAAATTTTTTCCATTTTCCCATTTCGGGGGGGGGGGGGGGGGGAATTCCCCCCTCACCCCCCCCCCTGGCTACGGGCCTGATCTGAGATTATTATATATTCCTTATTGTTATTTAAAAGTGAGGTCCGGCTTGTATTCTTAACATTAAGAATTTTTATTAAAAATTATTTTTTAGGAGCCTACAGCTGAAGGAACTATAGGCTTAAAGCTGTTAAATTCTTTGGTGGAGGAAATGAATTTGGTTTTTATTTGTTTTTTTTAATTAAGAAAAAAAATTTTTTTGAAGGAGGAAGGCTTCGAATCTGTTAGCAAGCAAAGAAAGATTTCTGGTTCTTTTCGAGATACTCGACTTTTGGATATTTTCATTGTTTCGTTGGATATTCTTAAACAGGCTGCTGAAGCTAAAACTTTGAATGACTCTATGGTATAATTTAAATTTTTTAATGATTTTCTAGTTTCTATAACCTAGTAAAGGCCGAGTCCAAAGAATTCGCTTTTTTCCTCAATCCTCTCCAGATTTTTTCTTTTTTCTCATTTCGTGGGGAAAGGAGTGGGGGGGGTTCTTTACCGGTTACTGGCATGATGAAGGATGTCACGATTTGAGAAAATAGAAAATTCTTAAACAAGCTTTTAACAATAAAAAAGGTTGTGACTTTAAGTTGGTAAAGGTTCGATTTAGTCCGATGAATTTTCTTTTTTCCTCAATTCCCTCCTTAAATTTTCTCCTTTTCCCCATTTTCGGAGGGAAAGTTGTGGAGACTAATGCTGAGAACAGTCTGTAATTGGGGAAAATTTTTTTTGTAAAAAATCTTGAATTACACTATCCGTTTTCCTGCAGGTTTGTTGACTATCCCGGTTTTTATTTATTTTTTACTCGGATCTTTGCTAGGCTTCTCTGTCCCTTTTCTTGTCAATTTTAACCTTCAAGAAAATTTGGCTGTATATGAAAGGAATGCGGCACTCAATTTTTTTCCCTTATTCTTAAAAATGGTTAATTTTCTTTTATTTTTCTCTCTATTTTTGATTTTTGCCTACGACTACAAATGCAAAAGGATTAATTTTCTTTTATTTTTTTATTTCGTTCGTTTGACTGACCGATGTGTGTCCGTGTTTTAACTGACCGAGTTCGTCCGTGTTTGTCTGTTCGAGTTCGTCCGTGTTTTATGTCCGGGTTCGTCCGAGTTTTGTCAATCTGACACATTGGTCAGTTAAAACACGGACATAAAACACGGACGAACCCGGACAGACAAACACGGACGAACTCGGTCAGTTAAAACACGGACGAACTCGGTCAGTCAAACGAACGAAATAAAAAAATAAAAGAAAATTAATCCTTTTGCATTTGTAGTCGTAGGCAAAAATCAAAAATAGAGAGAAAAATAAAAGAAAATTAGCCATTTTTAAGAATAAGGGAAAAAATTGAGTGCCGCATTCCTTTCATATACAGCCGCCGAAAATTTCAAATTTTATATTTTCCAGTTATCATATATCACATTAGCACTTGATCTCTCCTTTGCTTGTACTAATTATGACTTTTCGGGTATTGTAAATGATGAGACTTTGGATGAGGGCAATAATGTCCAAATACCTACAAAATGGCGACCAGGTTTCTTTTCTAAAATTGGCCTGGAAATTTTTTATTTTTTCCAGTTTTGGTAGAAAAACAAGTTGTTACAATGTTTTTTGATCTCTATTTTGTTTTGCCTGAACAAATTATTTCTAAAGCTTTTTTAACTTTGGTAAGGAATTTTTTTGAGAATTTTTTTAAAGTTGTTTTTAAAGGTCCAATTAGTCTCCATCCGCCGTCTACTCTTCGATGGTGTTGATCGTCTCAAATTTTTGGATTCTTTTATTTGCGGGTTAAAAAGGGTGCTGGAAAGTCCACAAAAGTTGAGCTATCCGGTAAATATTTTTTTAAAAGATTTTTTTTAATTTTTTGAAAATTTTTTTGAAACCTTACATTAGCCCTTTCGATATTTTTATTATTAGTGTTATTTTCTGTTGTTTTTTTGGTATTAAATTAATTACTTCCCTTTGAGATCTGTTTTGGTGTAGTGGATAGTGGGTTGAGTTCGTAAATTTTTACGGGGTGAAGGTTCGATTCTCTTGGGTGTCTAATGACTTCTCTTGACTCAAATTTGTCCAGTAAATTTTTTAATAATTTTTACTCGCTTAAAATAATTTTTTTCTGTTTCTTTTGATTTTTTTTACTAATTTTTAAAAATATTTCATTAATTTTATTTCAATTTTAGGACAATTTCCATCAATTTTGCCGTATTTTAAGCCGTTTAAAGGCCAACTATCAAGTCTCAGAATTAGTTAAATGTGGAGATCAATTTAATAATTTGTTGGAATTATTAACATTATTTACTCAACAAAGTCTTCAAATGTCTCATTTATTTACTCAAAGCAGCATTTTTTATTTAATGTCTTTTTGGAGTAGAATGGCTGGTTCGCTTACTTATGCGAGGGTTGATGTTGATTTGGTTTGTAAAAAATTTTTTTTTGAAGATTTTTTTTTTAATTTTTAAAGATTTTTTAGTTTAAAATAGGCCAGGAGACTAGTTAAAATTTTTAAAAATTTTTTTGGAGAATTAAAAAAATTATTTTCTCAGATTTCGGCTGCTATCCCAAAAGTATGTTCTGCCTTTATCCGTTCAAGAGTATTGCTATCTGAAAATGTCGTTAGGTATTTTTTAAATTAATTTTTTAGAATTATTTTAAATATGCTTCCCTTTATGTAAATTCAAATTTTATTTTTCAAAATTAAAAAAAAATTTTTTGGTTGTCCGCAAAAAGTGTCCGCAAATTTTTATAATTTCCAAAAAGAATTATTTTTGTTTGTCCGCAAAAAATGTCCGCAAATTTTTTTAATTTTCAAAAAATTTTTTGGTTGTCCGCAAAAAATGTCCGCAAATTTTTAATTTTCAAAAAAAATTAATTTTTTTTCTAGAGGAAATATTGAAGACCCTCTCGAAGATTTGGGTTCAGTTAAGCAATTAATGGAACTTTTTACTGTTATATCCCGAAGTGACTATAAAACATCTGTTGAAGAGTTGGTCAGAAATTTTGAAGAAAGTTTGGGTGTTTTGTTTAGACAGGGAGTTAGTAATCAGGTTTTTTTTTTGGAAATTTTTTTAAAATTAAAATCGATCAAATATAGGATCAGTTAATAGCCAGAAAACAATTAATTTGGCTAATTACAATGATGGCTGCTGGTATAAATGGGAAAGGTTCTGCAGGTTATGGGGATGATGAAGATGTGTATGATGGAGAAGTTGTGTTTAGAGTTTGGAAGGTTGTTAATTTTTTTTTGGATTTTTTACAAGGGAACATTCCGAACTGTATGTAAAAATTTTGAAAAATTTTTTGCTTTAATATTAAAAATGAAGGAGACTCTGTCACTCTAAAATACTGAAATTTTGATCAGCTATAACTTTTCAATTTGGGGGTATGGAGGAAAAGTCAAAAACGGCCAATAGGTTATCGACTGCTCTACACGATATTGCAGAAAATTTTTTGAAATTTTTACATACAGTTCGAAATGTTCCCTTGTTAGTATTAAAAGTCCGCAAATATTGTCTGCAAGTTAGATATTTTATTTGGCTAAATGGTAGGAGGTCCCAGACTCGTCGTGAACAACTTTTTCAAAATAGTAAAATAAAGAATATTAATTAAAGATTTTATGGGTACGTGAACTAAAGTATATTCTTTCTTCGTTTCCGTCTTCCTTCTAACTTTACATTTTTTCGGTTTCCATCCCCCATTTTCGACTTCTTTTTCCACATTCATTTAACTTTTTAAAATACGGAAGGACCCGACCCGACCGTAAAAATGGCCCGACCCATAAAATCTCTAAGTCCACAACTTACAGACTATATTTGCTGATTTTAATTAAATTCAAAAAAATTCTTTAAAATTTATTTAAAGACAATGCAAATGACTGACCAACGCTTAGAAAGTCAACAACCCGGTGCTGTTGATATTCAATTAGAATTTGCTTATATTTATTTAATGGATGAATTTAGAAGAACTTGTATTACAGACCAAGCAGTACGGGAAAGTAAACTTTATGAAAAACTTGCTCCTTTGGGAATTAACGATGAAGTTGGTGTTTTGAGGTTTTTTGCTCAGAAAATGTAAATTTTTAAATTTTTTTTTGTTAAATTATTAAAAAATGCCCCAAAAAACGTTCAGAATACCTAAGTAATTGGTGAGGGGCTTTTTTCTAAATTTCTAGCATGTCGAAATTAAATTTTTTTTCGTTTTCTCAAAATAACTTTTAGAAAAAAAAATATTTTTTGATTTTAATTTTCCTCTTAATTTTTCGGGTTTGGAAATTAAGGTAGAAATCGAGTGATGAAACACGATTTTATTAAGGGTTTCATTTTTTCTCAAGTTTATTGTTAGCAATAACCGTATCTCTATTTAAGTTTAAGTTGTCGAACTTGTAAATATTTTTCTGAGGTCTCTACCCCATATTTTGATTAATTTTCAAGTTCAGTCTTTAATTAGGACCCTTATTAATATTTTAAAAATAGTGACATTTTGTCCCAATTCTTTTAAAAAATAATTATTTTTATTTTTAGAATAACAAATTTAAAATATTGGGGAAAAGATGAAAGAATATTAAATTCAACATTAGCACTTTTAAATGATTTAACTGCTGGTTATTCAAATATTCGACGTTTATTAAAAACACAAGAAATTCAATTATTGTTGAGGAATCATGCTGTAAAAAAATTTTTAAAATAATTTTTTAAATATTTTTTTTTTAATTTTAAAAGGTTTTTGATTTTGTTGCTACTAACGAGGATATTTCTATAATGCGTTCTAGAACAAATTTTTATTCGTCTTTGATGCGTTTAGTTAATATTGAATTGGAGGAAGAGCCAGCCTTTTTTGATGTATTTATGGCTCCGATTACAGGTTTAAAAAAAAGAAGAATTTATTTTTTTTTGGAGGGAGCGGGAGGGTTTTATTCTTAAAAATTTTGGGGATAAATTTGAAAAATTAATTTTAAGACTTAAAAATTTTTTTCGGAAAAGACGACATTTTATCCCAATTTTTTAAAAAATTGGTTCATGTGTTGAAAAATTTATTTTAAAATTTATTTTCAATTTTTTTATAATTTTTTGTTTTTATTAAATTTGAGAGAAAATTTAAAGATTAATTTTTGGGAGCTAAAAATATTTTTTTGGAATAGGTGACATTTTGTCCCAATTTTTTAAAAAATTGGTTCATGTGTTAAAAAATTTATTTTAAAATTTATTTCCAATTTTTTTTAATAATTTTTTTACGCTTAAGAATCCGAGGGAAAATTGAAAAATTAATTTTCGAGGCTAGAAATATTTTTTGGAATAGATGACATTTTGTCCCAAATTTTTAAAAAAATTATTTTTTCTCATAAAAATTAAAAAAAATATTTTTTTCAGTTAAATTCAAAGAAATTTCTGCAATATTTCAAAATGGCAATATATCCTCTTCTGTTAATGAAACTCAAATTCGAATGGCTGTTATCGGATTTATGCGTGATTTGCGAGGAATTTCTGCATCTTGCACCCGAAAACAATTTTATTTGAATTTTTTGTTATGGTGGTAAGTTTTTATTTGTTTTAATTAAATTCTGATTTGTTTAACTTAAATTCTGATCATGTTTTCTGCTAAAATTCTGATTTTATTACTATAGTCGTTTTGTTCAGATTAAATTCTGATCTTGTTTAATTCAAATTTTAATTTGTTTTAAACAAGTTCTGATTTTTTAAAATTAAATTCTGACCTTGTTTTAAACAAATTCTGAATTTTATTACTATAGTCGTTTGTTCAGATTAAATTCTGATTTTTTTAAAAATCAATTCTGCCCTTGTTTTAAACAAATTCTGATTTTATTACTATCGTCGTTTTTGTTCAGATTAAATTCTGATTTTTAAAATTAAATTCTGATTTTGTTTTTAAACAAATTCTGATTTTGTTTTTATACTAATTCTGAATTTTTAATTTGTTTTAATTAAATTCTGATTTTTTTTCTTTTTTCAGTTTTTCCAATGGTGATTCAAATGTTTCCAATTTATTTTCGGTAATGCAAGAATCAATAAAACTCTGGATTGACAATGCTGATGTTGTTACACCAATTTTAAAATTGTTGGCAGAATTAGTAATGAATAGACAATCGAGACTACAATATGATATGCAAAGTTGTATGGCTGTTGTTTTGTTTAGAAATATTGCTAAAGTTATTTGTGAATATGGTAAGTTTGTTTTGTTTAAATTCTGGTTTGGTTCTGTATGTTTTTTATTAGATTTTGATTTTTAAAATTAAATCCGGAGGTGTTTGAATTGATTTCTGAAATTGTTTGAAATTGTTTGTTTGTTTTTATTAAATTCTGGTTTAGTTTTATACAGTGCTTGTATTAAATTCTGATTTTCAAAATTAAATCCGAAGGTGTATCTTGTTCAAATTAGATTCTGAAATGTTTTTATTAAATTTTGATTTGTTTTTGTATGTGTTTGAATTAAATTCGGGTTAAGTTCAGATTAAATTCTGAAAATGTTCTACACATGTTCTGAATTTTGTTTGTGTTCTGGTTTTGTTTTTATTAAATTCTGAGATTGTTTATATTAAATTCTGATTTTTTTTCAATAGGTACTAGATTGCTTTCATTACCTCCAGTTCCAAAAGAACACCATTACAAACAACGTATTAAAAACACTGGTGTTTGTTGTCAAATAATTAAAAATGTTTTGGCTGGGAATTATTTACCTTTTGGTGTTTTTTATATTTATGGAGATACTTGTATGACTGATACTTTGGATATTACTTTTAAATTATTTTATAAATTACAAGAAGAAAATTTTTTGGTAATGGACTGCTTTTTTCCTCAGTTTTTAAATTAAAAAATAATTTTTTTTCTAGGTTTATCCTAAATTGACCCAAGCAGTTTATGGTTTTCTAGACATTGTGACTAAGGACTGCACGGTAAAAAATTAAAAAAATTAAAGAAAAATTTTTTTGGAACAAAATTTAATTTTTAATGGCCAGAAAATTTATTTTTTAATTAAGAAAGATTTTTTTCTAATTTTTTTTTGAAGGCATACATTTCAAAAATGGAAGAAATTTATTTTATTGCAATATTTCGAGCTATTCATCGCGGTATTTGTTCTGTAGGTAAGACAATTTTTTACTTGGCAATAGTTTTTTGGTTCCAGGATATGTCAACAACATTTACTAATAATTTGGGAATTAATAATAATTTATCGTCATTTTCATCTTCACCTTTCTCCAATATTTCTTTTGCTGGTGAGGAGTGGGGGCAATTGTTTATATTCACTCATTTTTATTTTCTTTTTTATTTTAATTTCTTTAAAAATCTCTTTAATTAATTTCTTTTTATTTTTTAATTTCTATTTTTTAAAATATATTTTTTTATTCAAAATTCTTAACTATTTTCTTAATTCTTATTAACAAGGGAAAAGTTTTTTTAGTTCTATCCATTTTTAAGGGGGATTTTAAAAATCAGAATTTAATTTAAACATATAAAATTAAAATTTTCTTTAAACAACACAGAAATTAACACAACAAAATCAGAATTTAATTAAAACATGAACTGTTAAATAATAATGTTCATAATTTCTTGTTCAGCTTAAACCAGAATTTAATCTGAACATTTTTAAAATTTATTTATTTTTTAGAAGTATGGGATGTTTTAATAAAATTCTGAAATTATATATGTTTAAATTAAATTCTGATTTTAAATATAGACCTTTTTTATGCTTAAAATTATTTTTTATTTTTTTATTCAATTAGACACAACAGCAATTTCAACAAGTTGTTCAATTCTTGATCAAGTCATTACTTATGTTTTTGAACAATTAACACAACAACCGGGAACAACAAGCATGATACAATTATATAGGGAGCCAGAAGGTGATAGATGGAGAACGGCTTTTGAGAAACAGCCAAATGTTTTGTATGAGGTGAGAGGGTTTTTTCTGAATAGATATTTGTTTTAAGCAAAACAAAATCAGAATTTTATTAAAACAAACCAGAATTTAATCTGAACACTATCAGAATTTAAAATAAACATGATCAGAATTTAGTCTTTACAAAATCAGAATTTTATTAAAACACACCAGAATTTAATCTGAACACTATCAGAATTAAAATAAACATGTTAGATTTTATTCTGAATAAGCCAGAATTTAATCTGAACATTGTTAGAAAAAATAAAACAAAACCAGAATTTAATTTAAACATTTTAACAAATTTATTAATATTTTTAGATGCTTGTTTCAATTCTTTCCCAAATATTGTTTGAAGAAGTAAAATGTCAATGGTCAATGTCTCGTCCACTACTTGGCTTAATTATTTTAACAAGAGAGTCTGGCCGTTTTGATGAATGTAAAAGAGAATTTCTTCGTCAACAACCAGAAAATTATCAGATGGAATTGGATAAGGTAAAAAAAAATTAATTTTTTAGTCGGGGCTAATTTATGTAGTATATACCCCTCTGGCATCTGAAAGAAAAGCATCCTTATATTGAGTTGTTTCTTAAATTGGGGATATATTTTGAATTGAGTTATATCTTGGGTACATTTCTGTTTGTACCAGTCGAATTAACTTTTCATCTCTTTAACCCACCCACCTCCTCACATTTGACTTTCCTTTATACGTCAGCTTAATTTCCCCCCTTTTAGGGTTTCTCCTTAAGTAAGAGAAGGTTAATAAATTTTTTTATTTATATGGGAGTTGACTGGCAAATAAAATTTTTAATTAAATTTTTTTTAATTTTAAAAGGCATTTACTCGCCTTATGGATGGAATAGCCAAAAATGTGACTTTAAAAAACAAAGATAATTTTACTCAAAATCTGAGCACATTTCGTAAAGAGGTAAAATGAATAAAAAAATTTTAATTAAAAAAATTTTTTTTTAAAAAGGTTGATATAATCCTTAGAGGTGGAACTGTTGTTTCTTCTTCTACAGATATTCCGGTAACTACAAGTATAGGTTCTGAACAAGAATATACGGATAATATGACTGATTAAAGGAAGGAATAAATGAGAGGAAAGGAAGTTTTTTTAATTATTTATTTTTGAAAAAATAAAAAAATATATCTCATATAAATAAATATTTTTTTAAGAAAAGTCTTTTAAAAAGGCTATAAAATTATTTAAGAAAATGATAATTTTTTCAGACATGCACATGGATACGGATCAGGGATGGGACGGGTTGAAAAAAAACTCGGGTATCGGGGTTTCAAATTTTTTTGGATCGGGTTTTGTGTCGAAAAAAGAGTCCGGATTTCGGGTAACCCTTCCCATCCCTGATACGGATAATATCCCCGGATATCCGCAAATACGGATAAATATGGATAGTGTTTTTTTTAATCAAACGGATGGGTACGGATATGGTGCTCTAAATCCGCAGATATCCATCTCAAAATCTTCCCCTGCTAAAATCCGTGTCTATGTACAAGTCTGATTTATTTTTTTGTTTTTTTTTTTTGATTCATATAAATTTATTTTTTTGTTGTTTGAATAAAATTTAGAAAGATTTAAAAATTAGAAAGTCGAGAAAGGATGAGTTTTTTAAATGTTTGAACTAAGTTTGGCCAATAAGGATATAAAATCACATTTAACCAAAACCGTATTTTACCAGCCTCATTTTGTTTAAATTTTTTGATAAAAAAATTTTTTTTCTTATTTTTTTTTGTACTTTATATGTGTTCGTATTTACATAATTATCTATTTAATAATATTATAATTTTTTAGTTTTTTTTTTCAGATTAATTATTTTCTAATTTAAATGTGTTTATGGTAAAATTAAGATCGACCTCCACACATTTTTCTGTCAGAAATTTTGGGTAAAAAATTTTATTTTTTACCCAAAATTTTTTAAAATTTAAAGTAATTATTTACGAGGACCTGTTATTGGAATTAATTTTGGATTTACAAATTCCTCTGTTGCCATTTTAGAGGAAAGAAAAGCAAAGGTTTTTATCTTTTAATTTTTTTAAAAATTGACCGGTTTCTTGACCTTGAATCAAAGGATATCCAAGGAATTTGAAGAATAAATAAGAATGACAGGGGATTTGTGGAGATTAAAAATTTTTGGTAGATTTTGGGTAATAAAGGAATATCAGGGGATTTGGTGAATTTGGAGATACCGTTGGATTAGTGGGGATTAGGAGGATTTGTGTCAAGAAAAATAAAGGTAAACATGGAAATGCCGTGACTCCGGATCTAGATAAAAAGTCGATCTCTATTAATCTCTTAAATTTTTAGGTTCTCAAAAATGACGAAGACTCTTTCACAACTCCCTCAGTTGTTGCCTTCATTGGAAACGGAGAATATTTAGTTGGTGCTCCAGCTGTTAGACAGGCTGTTTTGAATAGTCAAAATACTATTTTTGTTATTAAACGATTAATTGGACTTAAATATGACGATAAACAAGTTCAGGATTTTATGTAAGAAATTTTCTTATAAATTTAAGAAGTCTATAGTTAACTGATTAGCCATAACCAAATTTTTTTGATACCTGTATGTTATCCCAATTCAATTTTTTACATGAACTCGGCAATATATCCCCTCCAGAAATTTAGTTCGCGGCTTAACTTGATCCTTTTTAATGAATTTGTATAGGAAGGATTCCAAGAGGTCGCAGGATCACCCACGTCTAAGCGTTTATTTACCTCTCGATAGTTTTATAAATTTTTGAATGCGTTGACCTCCTCTCCACATTTTTCTGCCATCCTAGGTTCTTTCACTCCTCTTTTAACCCTCAATTGTTTCTTTTACGGAAGTAAAGCCCTTTCGTTCTAACATAAACATTTTTCTCATTTTGTTTGATGACTCACAAGTAAATTTGCTCCACTTTAAAATTTGTCCTCATAAATATGTTCAAGTGATCATTTGGGGAAAATTTACACATATTTTTCTTTTACAGGAAAACCGTCCCATACAAAATTGTAAAATCTTTTAATGGTGATGCTTGTATTGAGATTCAATCAAAGCTTTATTCTCCTTCACAAATTGTTTCCTTTATTTTACTAAAATTGAAGCAGACAGCCGAAAATTATTTAAATAAAAAAGTTGGGGATGCAATAATTACAATTCCTGGCTATTTTAATGATTCACAAAAACAAGCATTGGAAGAAGCTGGTAAACTTGCGGGAATGAAAATTTTACGGTTTGTTGATGATTCTGCTACTGCAGCTGCAATTGATTGTGATTATGGACGAGGATCACGCGAAATGTTTGTTTTTTATTTAAGTGAAATTCTGGCCCACTTTTCTCTAATTCTCCACTACTTTCCCCATATCCTCCAATTATTTCGATAAATGGGACGAGGGACTTAAATTTCTTGGAAAATGAATTTTGTCTTTAACTTCCCACTCCGGGCTTTAGTGAGGTTCCCTAAAATTAATTTTATTAAAAAATTTCTAGTGCTGTTTGTAACTTAAATGGAGGCATTTTTGAATTTTCCATTTTGAGGGTTCAGGATGAGGCTTATGAAATTTTGTCAACTAATCACAATCCTTTACTAATTGGCGATGCTTTCAATAATACTATTGTAAATTATTTTGTTTCTGAATTTGAACGAGAGAATGGAATTGATTTGAGCAAGGTTTTTTGAATTAAAAGCGTAATCCAAATTTCCTCTCAATTCCTCTATCTTCTTCAGCCTTGATTTCCTTTATTAGTGTTTCCTGGTCCGTTCATTTGTCATCTTTTTTCCTCCTTTATTGATCTTCTCCCGGTTTCTCCTAAAAAATAGCGGTTTAACTGACGGCTTAAAATTTTTATGGATCCCTGAACATCAGAGATGTTTCGAAACAAAAAAATCTTCGGAAATCGGAAATCGAAAGAAAAAAAAACCCTCGAAAATCGAAATTTCGAAACATCTCTGCTGAACATGTCGAAAATTCTTATCTTTACCTAAGGCAGGGAAGCTGAAAAAAAGACATGGCAATTTTGGTTATATGCAGAAGAGTCTTCCTATTTTATCTGACACGAGAATTGGCGTTAGTTTATTTATAAAATTATTTTTTAAGGACCCTGTTGCAATTCAACGCTTACGTAAAGCTTCTGAAAAGGCAAAATGTCGACTTTCAAGTTGTACACAAACTGAAATTATTCTTCCAAATATTTTTGTTGATACTAATGGACCTCCTAAACATTTTCGAATAAAATTGACTCGTTCAAAATTTGAGGAGTTGACTGAAAATTTGATACAAAAAATTGTGCAACTTGCTCAAAAAACATTAAATGATGCTAAAATGGCAAATCAAGCAGATGATAAGGATTTACAATTAAACGAGGAGGAGGAGGATTTACAATCTACTGGAGTTACCTCAGTTTTGATCATTGGAGGGATGTCTAAAGTGCCAAAGGTTTTTTTTAAATTTTTCAAATTTATTTTTCATTATTTCCCTCCCACTCGCCCCATTTTTTTTCTTTTCCATTTTCTTCAAAAAAATTTTTTGAGGGTCACTCGCCTCTCTGTTTTCCTTTTTTTCTCCAAAAAAGGGAGGGTGGATAATGGAAAGTATATTTTGTTTTGTTTTTTTTTTTAATTAATTAAATGTAGATTAGAAATGTTATTGAAGAAATTTTCAAGAAGGAAATATCTGATTCTCAACTTGAAGATGGAGAAATTTCAACTGGAGCCATTTATTTAGGTGTTCTTTTTGGTGATATAAATTATTTGGATGATAGACGAACATCTAAAAATCGAATTTTTACAATGGTATTTTTTATACGCTCATAGGTCCATCTAGCTCATAGGTCCAATCTTGCAAATTTTAATTTTCAATGTCTTTTTTTTTTATTTTTAGGCTTCACAAAAAATGTTTATTGGAGACAGAAAAGCTGTTGGATTACAAAATCTCGCTAAGCATGTTTTTATTTTTATTATTTCTCCAAAGGAAAATTTTTTCTTATAGTTTTGGAGAATTATTACAATTATGATTAAAGAATATTATATTGCATTGCATATTGATATTCGATCAAAAAAAGCAACACGAACATTAGGGTATTTCGTTACACGTTTTTCTGATGATAGAGAATGCTGGCGCGCCATTCTCGATGCTGATAACTAGTTTGAACTTTTTTTTCAATATGCTAACATACTAGGGATCCCTAGGGGTGAGAAATATGACGGGCTAGGGTCGGTTCAACCTGACTTTAAAAATTCGGGTTGTGTTTTGAAAATTTATTGGATCGATTTTTGGCTTGGAAAAAAGACCGAGATTCTTGTTTCGAGTAACCCACGACTTCTTTGCTTTACAATAGGGTAGCACGAGACCGTTTAGAAACCTCGTTTATTGTTTCATGTGGCGGGTCAAAAAGAAAAGAGAGAAGGAAAAAGTCTGCCACAGGGAAAAATAAACCTCGAATTAAACGGTCTCGTGCTACCCTACTTTACAATATGGATGGCTGTTGAAAAACAGGCTGTACTTTAGCCGGTGGCCCACTCAGAAACGGGTCAAATTATATACCATTCGATTCGTCTCGGTGAGTTGAGTCGAATGGTACCACTCTTTTCTTTGCGGAAATTCCTATGAGCAGAGATATAGGTCCTTAAAAACCGAAAAACAATAGGGGGACCAAGCACCTTTTTGGAGTGAAAAATTCGAATATGCAAATTATACCTCTTTCGAAAGAGCTCATCGTGTTGAGTCGAATGACACCAAAATCAACGAAATCCGACTTGATCTGGGAATTTTTATAAGTATATCAGGATGGACATACCTAACTGAATTAGGTAACAAGTAAATTTCTTAAGAAAAGGTCGCAAATTCTCAAATTGATTAGTAACTGTTTGAACTTTAGTATATTCGTTTTGTCGCCCCAGTGTCTGCACACTGTTCCATAAGTTTAAGTTACCCCATTTTTTGAAAAATAATTTCGTGAAATAATATGTCATCGAATTGTTGCGGACAAACAAAAGTTTTTTTACCAGAAAAATATTTTTTCCAGTGCTAAACATGGACCTGATTATTATTATGATACTGGTGATCCGGAATACTTATGCAACTATGTTTACAATTTTTTAAAGAATTTTTTGTTTATTAAAAAGAAAAAAGTTTGGACTAAATTAAAGCCTTTTGTTTATAGAATTAATTTACCATCGCCAGAAAAGTATGAAGATCTCCAAAAAATTAAGTTTAGAAGAGTAATAAAAACTCAAAAAAATAAGAGATGGTTAAAATTAAAGAATAAAAAGTATTTTTTATTTAGAGCATATTAGAAAGAAAATTTCTTAAAAAATTTTTGAGGACATGTTTTGCGGACAAAATTTTAAATTTTTATTGTTTAATGAATACCGTTAGCTGTTAACCAAAACTTTATGAAAAAATTGAAACCAAAAAAAGAAGGAAAAAAAGCTCAACCTTTGCCTAAAAATTTTTTTTCCGCAAAAATTTTTTGTCCGCAAATTTTCTTGATAAATAATAACCTTTTGTAATTTCATTATTTTTCATTTATTTTCCTCTTTTAAATTTAAAATATGATTTTTCTTAACTGCCTTAATAAAATTTTTTTATATTTTTTAACTACCTCAATGCTGCCATATTTGTTTATTTTTACAAACTTTTATTTGATAAATAATAATTTTTTAAAATATTTTTTTATATTTTTTAAAATATTTTTCAGATAAATTTAAATGTGTTTATGGTAAAATTAAGGCCAACCTCCACACTTTTTTCTGTCAGAAATTTTGGGTAAAAATTTTTTTTTCTTAAAATTTTTTAAAATTTAAAGTAATTATTTACGAGGACCTGTTATTGGAATTAATTTTGGTTTTACAAATTCCTCTGTTGCCATTTTAGAGGGCAGAAAAGCTAAGGTTTTTATCTTTTATTTTTTAAAAACTGACCGCTTTCTTGACCTTGAATCAAGGGATATTTAAGGAATTTGGAGGATAAAGAAGAATACCGCGGGATTTGTGTAGGTTAAAAGTTTTTGGTGGATTTTGGGTAATAAAGGAATATCAGGGGATTTAGTGAATTGGGAGGGGTATCGCTGAATTAGGGGGGATATCGAGGATTTGGGGGGTATTAGGAGGAAATAGGGGCATTGGGAGGGTTTTATTTTTATTTTTTATAACACTTAAAATCTCTTGATCTTGACAATGAGTTTAGGAATAATTAAAGTCTTGACTCTATTAAATTTTAGGTTCTCAAAAATGACGAAGATGCTTTCACTACTCCCTCTGTTGTTGCCTTTACTGAAGATGGGGAATATTTAGTTGGTGCCCCAGCTGTGAGACAGGCTGTTTTGAATAGTCAAAATACTATTTTTGGTATTAAACGATTAATTGGACTTAAATATGACGATAAACAAGTTCAGGATTTTATGTAAGAAATTTTCTTATAAATTTAAAAAAAATATATAGCGGGGATTTTGTCTTTTTAATTAACTGTATAACTAATTTTTCGATATTTGTAAGTTATCCTCATTCAACTTTTTCCACCTTCAACTCGGGAAGATATTCTAGTTTGCAGTTTTGCTTAATGCTTCATTAGTAAATTTGTTAGACTTTTAGTGGTTAAATATCTAAAATTTTAAAAAACCTGGAATTTATTTAGTGACTTGGCCATTATTCTTCAGGGCTCATTTTTAATTGAATCAAGTACTTGATTTCTTGATTTTTTATTTGGAAGGATATCAGGGGATCTTGAGGGATTCCAGAGGGTATTTAGAGGAGGCTCTTAAAAAAGGAGACTATCCACATTATGGGTGTGCCGAAACTAATTTTAAGAAGCAGCAAAAGGCGAAACTGACACCAGGGATGGGACGGGTTACCCGATACCCGAAACCCGGACTTTTTTTCGACCCGAAACCCAATCCGAAGAAAATTTTGAAAACCCGACTCGAAACCCGACCCGACTTTTTTCTCAACCCGTCCCATCCCTGACTGACACATCCCCAGTCTGATTATATCAAATAGTTGTGTTTGGAATAATTCACACTTATTTTTTCTTTATAGGAAAACAGTTCCATACAAACTTGTAAAATCTTCTAATGGTGATGCTTATATTGAGATTCAATCAAAGCTTTATTCTCCTTCACAAATTGTTTCCTTTATTTTACTAAAATTGAAGCAGACAGCCGAAAATTATTTAAACAAAAAAGTTGGGGAAGCAATAATTACAATTCCTGGCTATTTTAATGATTCACAAAAACAAGCATTGGAAGAAGCTGGTAAACTTGCGGGAATGAAAATTTTACGGTTTGTTGATGATTCTGCTGCAACGGCAATTGCTTGTGATTTTGATGTTGGAAATGGATCATATGAAATGTTTATTTTTTTTAAATTTATGTGGGAATAATGAACTTTAGGGGTCCCATTATTTAGTTATTTAAAGCTAATCAAATTGGGGGGGGGGGGGGTAATTACTCTGTCTTCACAGTTCCTAGTAAGGAAAGGTTCAAGAATCTGACTGTTTCTATTTTTTAAGAGTTATCAAAGACAAGTTAATTGTGCTTATGTTCCATGAAATTTTCGTATAACTGGAACCAGGGCTGGGCGAAATTAAAAAATAAAAAGCGAAATGCGAAATGCGAAACTTTTTTTAAAAAATTAAAAAGCGAAATGCGAAAGATTTCTCGCCAAAAAATGCGAGAATGCGAAAGATGCGAAAGCGAAAGCGAAATTTTTTAAAAATTCTGAAAATATTTTAGTCATATTCAAAATTATAATTTACGAGATTGTGATGCAAAAATAAAAACATTAGTGCATTTTTTGAAGATGACTCTGCTTATTATTAGGACTCGGCCGGCTTTGCCTGAGTCCGGGTCCCAATCGAATCAAAAAAAATCCGGCCGGGTCCATTTTTTATCTTCTTCCATAGACTTAAGTCTCTTCCATAGACTACTTCCATAGACTCTTCCATAGACTTAAAGATTTCATCCTTTTTTCACAGCGGAAGGCAAAAATTTTAAGACTTTTGTAAATCCTTAGGAAAAAAAAATTCAGTTGCCAGAGCCGCAGGCAAAAATTTTTGTTTTTATTAAAAATGTTTTTTCAATAAAATATTAAAAAAATAAATTTAACAATTACAAATCAAAATCAGAGTTTAGAGATATTTATTTTTGAAAGGAAAATTTTTCCCAGCCTAATTCATGGCCCTGGATTCGAACCCATCACTAACAGAATTTCTAATTTAGTGAAGTCAGTCAACATTCCACTCCACCATCGACCAACGAAAGTAAAGTTATGATAAATTTTAAATATTTCTTTCCCTTTTCCTTTAAGAAATTTTACGTCAAAATATTTAAAAAATAAAAAAATACTAAATGAGAATGCGAAACAAATTTCGCATTCGGTCCAGGGGTGAGCGCATTGCGTTTTGCGTTTTGCGTTATTTGCGTTAAATTTTGGCCTTGCGTTGCGTTTTGCGTCTTGCGTTATTTTCGATGAAATTAACGCAAAAAATATATCCAATCTGAGGACAAAATTAGAGAAATCTGGCTTATTGGCCTTCCAAAATTCTAAAAATTTTCGCCTGCGGCGCTAAAAAATGAAGAAATTTTGCTTTCTGGCCTTCCAAAATTCTTAAAATTTTCGCTTGCGGCGCAGAAAATGGAGGAGGGATAAAGTGGCCAAGTGGAAAATATCGGAGGAACTGAAGTGATAGAAGACTATCGGTCGATTTACTGCGATTAAGGTTGATTTAAAAAGATATCGGGGGTTTGTAGGGATATCCTGCTATATCTCTTCAATCCCTGATAACTACTATATGCTCAAATCCCTGTTATTATTCTAATCTGAGGGCAAAAATTGGAAGAAATCTAGCTTCTGCTTTCCAAAATTCTCAATATTTTTGCCTGCGGCGCTAAAAGTAGGGTATTTAAATATTTAAATACCAATTTTACATCTTGAAACGGCTCAAAAAATATCGGTTCATTATCTGGAGCTCAGATCTCAAGTTATCCTCCAAATTACCTGATATCCCCGGAATCAATTTATAAATACTGATAGCCCTTTATCCTCCGTTATCTCCCTAACTCACTCGACATCCTTTAGTAATCCCATGGGATCTTTTTAAATTTACTTGATCGCTCCAAATTACATGATAATCTGCGTAATCCCCAGCCACTTCGTTAACCACCTTGATCGTTCTAAATCCTCTGATATCCTTCAAAATCCCTCTAAATCCTTTATCTCTCTCCAAAACATTACTCATCCAACTTACTTGTACCTCAAACTTAATTATGACTCGCTACTACTATATTACCCCTATTAATTTATTGATTAGTTAGAACAAGAGAGCTCTGAAGAGACTGCCTATTGGGTGAGAGAAGTCAGAGTAAAAATTTTTTTCTCTCCCCAAATAGGCAGTCTCTTCAGAGCTGTCCTGTTCTAACTAATCAATAAATTAAAATTGTACCCAATCCTATTGATACCCCCCCCTCCCCATCTACAGTAGACAAAACCAAAACCTTTCAGGACGTTCCGCGGCGCAAACATTTGAGAGCCAAACATTTTCAGGGACGGTTCGATGCCCGAGCAAAAAATTTTTTCCTAGTTTAGCAATATCGATTTTGAGTTATTTGTGTACTTATTTTATTGTGTACTTATTTCTTTTATTTGTGTACTTATTTAATTTTGTTTTTAGGGTAATTATACCTAAATTTTTGGAAACTAAAGTCTTCAGAAAAATATTGAAGACTAATTGCCGGTACTGGTTCTTGCCGGTACTGGTTCATCTAATTGCCGGTACTGGTTCTACTTGTCGTCTTTTGAAGGTATTAAAAAAATTTTTAATTATTTTTGAATAATTTTCTCCTTTTAGTCTGATGGTAGTGTGCATGGAGTTGATTAAAACTTTCTCTTAGCTTTTCAATTTTTTGTATTTTCAAGTTGGTGGTTGGGGACATTTGTTAGCTGATGAAGGCGGTGCTTTTTGGATTAGCATGAGGTTTTGAATTAAAAATTTTTTCTTTTACTGGATATCAGGGATGTCCCGGGTCAACCAAAACCTAGACTTTTTTCATTACGAAAATGTTGACAAAGTCTGACTCAACTTTTTCTCTTAATTCCGCTAACTGACCTGATCCGAAACCCGGACTTTTTTCTACCGGAAAAGCGATCCGAAGAAAACTTACCAAAAC